GGGAGGAGGGAGCTGCGGAGGTGAGGCAGGCTGTGTTTCGGGGCTCCTGTCTGACTCCGTAGCTCCAGGGCCCTGACTGGTGTCTAGCCGGGTCGTTCATTATTTATCCTGAAAGCTTTTTCGGAGGCCCAGGGGAGGGATTCTGTTCCATTCCTGGAAGAGGGATGTGGGCCCCAGAGGCCACACGAGATGAGGGCGTGGCTGAGAGGGCCCAGGGCCCCCGCGCGGACCGCACTTCACAGTTTAGGCAGCACTTGCACGCCGCGGTGCCTGTCAGCTCCCGTTCACCGATGGGGAAACAGGCCCAGAGCAGGAGAGGGACTTGCCCAAGGCCACACAGCCCCTCACAGGCCAACGCTTTGGCTGCATGACTGGTTCTTTCTCTCTCCCCCCGCCACCCAGAGCCTCCCACAGCAGAGACTTTAGTTATTTTTTCACGACAGCTTTTTTTTTTTTTAATTTTTTGTGCGGTACGCGGGCCTCTCACTGCCGTGGCCTCTCCCGTTGCGGGGCACAGGCTCCGGACGCGCAGGCTCAGCGGCCACGGCTCACGGGCCCAGACGCTCCGCGGCACGTGGGATCTTCCCGGACCGGGGCACGAACCCGCGTCCCCTGCAGGCGGACTCTCAACCACTGTGCCAGCAGGGAAGCCCCGGAGACAGCTTTTTATATATTAAGATTGTCGGGGGAATTCCCTGGCGGTCCAGCGGTTAGGACTCAGTGCTCTCACTGTCGCAACCCAGGTTCAATCCCTGGTTGGGGCACTAGGATGCTGCAAATCGCTCAGTGCAACTGGAAAAAAAAAAAAAATGCTGGTTAAGGAAGCTTGGGGGTGGCCCGGTTCCGTGGGGGGTGTTTTGCTGGCACACCGTTCAGGTGCTCCCCACACCAGGGTGGGCCTTTCCTTATTTCTCTGAGGAGTGGGCTGGCTTGAATTGACAGACCAAGAGCTGGGGGGACGCCTGTGGAGGGCCAGGGGGGGAGCCCGGGTGGGGGCTGGGCCCCGGGCACCATCGTCCAACCCCTGTGCCCATGTCCGTGTCGCCCTCCGCGGGATGGACGGTGGTCCGTGGTCAGGAAGACGGAGCGGCCTGCTCGTCCCCACGTGGCCTGTCCCTGGCTTCCTGCTGGGGGCACTCTGCTTGCTGGGCGCTGCTCGAGGGCACATCCTGCCTGGCCCGCCTCTGCCTGCTGCCCTGAGCCACACACCTCCGCGGGGGCGACTCTTTTCAGGTGGTCAGCTCATTATCTGCAGTGACCAGTGTGACCGGTGGCCACACCCTGGCAGGAGCCCCTTGTCAGAGACAGAGGCCATCTGGCCACGGGGCGGTCTGTTGCTCAAAGGCCTCCCCACAGCGGGAAGAGCGAGGGGCAGGAACGTGGGGGCTGGAAGCTGAGGCCGGGGGCCTGGGAAACCCTGTGGACTCTTTCCTGGCCTGGCTGTTGCTGCCCAGCTGTCTTGCGGCCGCCTCTCCCCATCCCTCACCTCCCAAGGGACAGCCAAGTCACCTTCAGGTTCCGTCTGCAGGGGAGGGGAGCATGATGCAGGGCCTCGGATGGGCTCAGGCCCACAGTGGGCGGAGCCGTGCAGTGCAGACCCTGGGCCGGGGGCCCGAGTGGGGATGGGGGATGTCAGACAGTGTGGGAAGGGACCCCGTCCGGCTCAGCCCCGGTCCTCCTGGTACCTTCAGCCGAGAATGATATCTGACAGCTTGCTGTTTGCCAGGCACCGGGCGTGTCTTCTTAAATCTTCCCGAGAGTGACGGCCACGTGAGGAGCTTACTTTGATTATCCCCGTTTTACTGATGTGAAAATGGAGGCTCAGAGAGGTTAATGGACCTGCTGATGGTCACACAGCAAAGCGATGGAGATGAGAGACAGACTCAGAGGTGCTGGACACTGAGGCCTGTACTCTTACCTTCTGAGCTTCTTGCTCCCCAGGGCGTCCTCTTTAGAAAAGCGCGTTTATTATATGACCGTATTTTATGTTTGCATAACACATTATATTACATTTTATTCCCATGTTGGTATTATACCATATATTTGATTATTGCCGGTTAACTTATTAAAAAGCAGCATTTGTTGATTGCAGAGAGTTTAGAAATTCCAGAAAAGCAAAGAGAGGACGTATGAGCCCAAGGTCCCGGCACTCACACTGGGGCACATGCATCCTTTCCAGCATCCAAGGCGGTGTAGGTCCCGAGCCTGACTTCTTGCTGAGACCCATGTCACCTTGGCCCTGGGGCCTGGCCGATTTTTCTGGGGAGGCCTGGCTGCCACGTGGCTCCCCCAGGTCCGGAGCCCCCGAGTGCCCCTCCGCCAAGGTCCGGGCGAGGCAGGGCCGGGAGCAGCTGTTTCTCACCCTTGGCTCTTGTGTCTTTCGTTTCAGGAAATTAAAATGCATGACAGATAGCGAGTCCGTCCCGCCTGACTGGCCCTATTACCTAGCCATTGATAGGATTCTGGCCAAGGTCCCCGAGTCCTGTGATGGCAAACTGCCGGACGGCCAGCAGCCGGGGCCCTCCACGTCCCAGACCGAGGCGTCCCTGTCGCCGTCTGCTAAGTCCACCCCTCTGTACTTACCGTATAAGCAGTGCTCCTACGAAGGCCGCTTCCAGGACGATGGCTCCGCCAGCTCCTCCAGCTTACTGTCCCTTAAGTTCAGGTAGTGTGTGTGCTTCCCTCTCTTGCCTCCACACCAGCGGGGCCGGGCACCCGCCCTCCGGAGAGGGGGCTGAAGGCTGCGAGGGGGCTGTCCTGGCGGCGGCATCCTCTGCCGGCCCGGGCCGGCCGCGGAAGCCTAGGCAGTATGCACCAGCCCCCAGGGGCAGGGAGGCCAGAGACAGGAAGGCAGGTGGTTCCCGAAGCTTGGGCTGTCGTGTCCACAGACTGGGTGCATCTCCTGCTCCGTCACCGCTTAGCTGTGTGGAAAGTCCTTGATCTCTCTGGGCCTCAGCCTCCCTCTGTGAAATGGGGATAAATCAGGACCTTCTCCAAGGAGGGCTGGGAGTAGAGGCGAGCGCTCCCGCCTTCCCTCAGCTTCTGGCTCTTGCGCTCCCCCTATCCCAAGCACACCATGCCCTGGGATCCCCTTCTCCCTGGCCTGGCCAGGCCGGCTGGTCTCTCAGCACCGGGGAGGGGGTGTCAGGCTGAGCCTCCAGCGTGTGCTCGGAGCCTGGCTGCGGTGGGGGGACGCAGCCCCTCTGCCGTCCACGGCGTCCTGCCAGGCATGTGCTGACCCCACCTCAAGATGCCCTCAATTAGGTGTGCGGGAGACACACCCCTGTGGTGTGGGGGCCGGGGAGCCAGAGGAGGTGACGTTTGGGCTGGGCTTTCACGGATGAATAGGAGTTGGCCAGTGGGGGAGAGAACAGGAAGAGTGTGGATTTGAGCCGTGGCCCTGCCTCCCCTGAGCCTGGTCTCAGGTCTGTCAGAGGGGAGTAGGGTGGGGTGAGGAAGGCGTCTCCGGGGGCCCCTCCAGTCTGACACCCCCAGTCTGGGGGGCTGCTGCTCGGTTTGTTCTCAGCAAAGACACCAGACAGAAATGCCTTTGCTGGTGGCCAGGCTGAGTTGCAGGGAAGTCTGAGATTTACGGACAGTTGTTTCCATGGATTGAGCCCAGTTCCCAGACTTGACAGCTGCCCCGGGCATTGCACCAGAACTGGGACGTGGGGCTGTTCTCCCTGTCGGGGCTGAGCTCTGCTCTCTGCCCCTGAGGTCGGCGGGGTCACGAATCTTCTGCACAGAAGCAGAGGGCCTGGGCTCGGGGACGGGCAGGATCTTGGGGCCTGGTGGGGTTTGGCAGCTCCCTGCCCACCCGTGGGGGCCGGTTAGACCCGGGATGCCCCACCCCCGAGCAGAGAGCCCAGGGCATGCCCACCCAGCTCAGCGGGTTTGGGGGTGCTCTCGTGGCAGGGAACCCCCGCCTCCTAAGCCTGCGCCCCACTTCGTGGTGGGAGGGCCCGGCCCTCACGTGCGTGGACGGTAGCCCAGCTCCCCGTGTGCCCAGTGGTGGCCGGGAGGGTCGGGCAGGCCCGGGCTCCGTGGCCAGCCGTCCACACGCCGGCGCTGTCCTTCCAGGTCGGACGAGCGGCCCGTGAAGAAACGCAAGGGACAGGGTGGCCACTTGCAGAGGAGGAAGCTGCGGCTGCTGGAGACGATGCTGGAGGAGCAGCGCCGGCTCAGCCGCGCCCTGGAGGAGACGTGCCGCGAGGTGCGCCGCGGGCTGGACCAGCACAGCCTCCTGCAGGCGCAGGGCCTGCAGCTGCAGGAGCGCATGATGAGCCTGCTTGAGAAGATCATCGCCAAGTCCGGGGTCTAGGCCGCCCACTGGCCCCCCGCCGCCGCTCCCGGTCGGGCCTTCCCTCCCAGGGGCCCGGGAGCCCCCAAAGCCTCGGTCTCCAGCATTAAAGCCCCCGGACACGCGGCCGGGGCTCCGGGCTCACTGCAGGGCAGCTCCCGGGAAGAGCATCCCGGAATCTGCTCTCCAGTATCGTCACTGTCGACGGTACTCGGAATGGCTTTTGATGTTAAACGTGTCATTTTCATCACTGCCTGGAAGCGGAGGTCATGGTGCAGCCTTGGAGGGAGGCGCAGGCGGTCCCTCCCAAGACGAAGCGGGTGGACGCAGCGCGGGGGCAGGTGTGTCCCCCTCCCTGGGTCTGCTGCGTCGGCCCCGAGAGCCTCGAACACCCGGGCCAACCCCAGAGGCCCGCACCGCCTTCAGCGGCCTTTTCATCTGTCCCCCTGGGACGTCGGGCGTCCCGACTGGACTAATAACAGCGGTGACCCTGCCCGCTGGGGACACCCTGTCCTGTTCCACTGTCTCTGCCAAGGGATGCGGCGGGGATGAGACGAGGCCCAGCCTCGGGGAGCTGACACTCGGGGGACAGGCAGGCGAGTGAGTGGAGAAGCCAGGTAACAGCTGATTGTGAAAGTGCTGGCAGGGCAGGGCCGGGCTGGACATGGGCACACATAGCCGGCAGCCACCCAGGGGCTGCCTCTCCGGGAGGGAGAGGGGCTGGGGGTGGGAGCCTCAGCACTACAAGATCTGCCAGCAGGAAAACCCTTCCAGAGCCCCGCCCCACCCCCCCACCCCCCAGTTCCTCCTGAGTCTCATCTGGGCCCAGGTGGCTGAAAGAAGGCACCACAGGAGAGCTGGGGGTTACGTTTTGTTCAGGGCCTCCCTGGGGACGTAGCCTGGGACGCTGCCACTCCGTAGCTCTGAGGATGCTCTTCCAAAAAAGTGGGGAGAAAGAAGCCTCTTGATATGTGACTTTTGGTAGGAGATATGGCAGTCAGGTCCCAGTAAAAGGTCACAGCTAGTAACAAAGAACAGACATCTCAGTTAATGGCTGTAGCGCTTTTCTCTGTATGGGAAGAACTGGATTCATTAAAACTCTTGTTGAGATACACGTCTACCTGTCCGAGGGCCTGATTTTTTGTCCAAAGCACAGAGTACCCCATCACGGTCTTCACGTCCTCTGTCTGGAGTGTGGAGGGCTTCGTCCTGTCACCTCTTTTGTGGGGTGGGGGCCATGCCATGAGGCGTGCGGGCTCTTAGTTCCCCGACCAGGGATCAAAGCCGGGCCCCGTGCGGTGGAAGCGCAGAGTCCTAACCACTGGACCGCCGGGGGAGTCCCCGTCCTGTCGCCTTGATCCCCTCGCAGGGTGCACTGTGGCCCCACCCCCGTGCAGCTGGGTGATGAGCAAAAACCCTCCGTTGCTCTCTGTTTTACAAGGAATGTCTGGTTCACCCCTGAACTAGCAAGTTGCTGCCACACAACAGGGTTCTGAGGAGACACAGTGGGTGGGTTAGTGACAGGTGACTTATGGGGTAGAAAAGCTTCTCTGACTATTGCTCAGCAGACCGTTGGGATTGTTTGTGGGGCTGCGGGGTGGGGAGTGGAAGCCGGGGCCCTGCAGGAGGCTGCCATAGTCTCCCTACGTGACAGCCACCAGCTCATCTGAACCTCCAGTGACCCTTGAGGGCAGCCAGGCAGTAACCAGGGCTCTGCTGGTGTCAGAGCACTCCTGGTGAGCCAGGTGGTGTAGACGCCTGTCTGCTGGAGGGAGGGGCTGGGTGTCCTATGCAGCGTGGAGGGCGGGGCCAGGTGGGCAGGATGGCCCACCGGGATCCCCTCGGAGAGCACGTGCTGTGGACTCAAACCATTGCACTTTGGGACTGAAGAGGTGGTGTGTCTGGGAATGTTTACCCGGCGCTGCAACAGGGGTGGAGCCCTGCCGTGTCAACTTGCAAGTATTCCCATGAGCCCCAGCTGCCGGGAGTGCGCTGCCGGGTGTGCCCTGCCAGGTGCGTGCTGCCGGGTATGCGCTGCCGGGTGTGCCCTGCCGGGAGTGCGCTGCCGGGTGTGCCCTGCCGGGAGTGCGCTGCCGGGTGTGCACGGTGGCTCCCGCATCCACCGCAGAGGCCCAGAGCGTGGAGGCACCTCGTGTTGAAGGCCTGTGTTTGGGGGCTGCCCTGGCGAATTTCTAGCTCTTAGACAAGGCACCAGCACGAGAGCTCGCTCAACCGACACTGGGACCCGGCCAGGCTGGGCCTGAGAGGGTCTGGACTGAACCCCGACAGGCAACCGACCCCATCAGGTGGTCATGCCCAGAAGCCCTCCAGGAGGGGTGGATCGAGTCGTGAGGCAGAGTCTTCACCTTAAACATCTTTGCGTTCCTAGAATCAGGGTCACAAAGTATTAGCATTTCAGAAACTGCAAAAAGGTGTCCGTTACAACGTGTCATTTTGCTTTTTTGCATTTGTATTTAGAGGGAATTTGGTCTGTTTTCTTTTCCCTGCTCTCTCCATCAGAGTTTGTAATTAATGCCCCTTCTGCGTCCTCGATGGAATCAGCTTATCCCTGTCCTTAGTCTGGACAGAGCCATTTAGGGTCCAGCTGAGAACCGCCCAGGTCGCGCCCTTCGTAAACGGTGTGTCTTTAGCCTCTTTCCAGCGTCTTCCACAGTTATTGGTCCGTAAGGAAGGAAAAGTGGCGATATCAGTAAACGCGAAAATACGCGATAAGATTCAGCAAAACAACGCGTTAACACTGACAAGTAAAATCAAGAACCAGACAGATGTGCTCACTTTCACCATTATTATTTGGTTGCCTTGACATTTATCACCAATGCATTAAGACAAACAAAGTAAGCAGGATAAGAGACAAAATGAAGAAATTAAAAATACCTTTATTTTCAGACAATATTTTTATATACCCAGAAAACCAAAGTATAGAAAAGATCAAGAGCACCGTAAACTACCTTAAACCCGTTAAATATGAGGATGGAAAAATTCACAGTTAGGATTCAAAGCTATAGAATATCTACAAGTGAATTTAAGCAGAAAGGTATAGGATTATACGAAGAAAACTATTCAGTCTCATTGAAAAATGTAAAACAGGCCTCCCGCCTTCTGAGATGGCCCACACTCTGTCTGTGAAGTGTGTTTCTCCCAAGGCTGTTCTCACCTTTTTTGTTTGCGGTACACGGGCCTCTCACTGTCGTGGCCTCTCCCGTTGCAGGGCACAGGCTCCGGACGCGCAGGCTCAGCGGCCATGGCTCATGGGCCCAGCCACTCCGCGGCATGTGGGATCTTCCCGGACTGGGGCACGAACCCGCGTCCCCTGCATCGGCAGGCAGACTCTCAACCACTGCGCCACCAGGGAAGCCCTGTTCTCACCTTTTGAGACAGACTGCATTATGTCTATGGAATGTGTATCTCTCTAAATAAATCCACTACTTACCTATCCAAAAAAAGAACATTTAAAACAATATCTGAGCATGTGGAGAGACTTAGCATTCTCCCAGAACCTCCAAAATATAATATAATTTTATTAATGTAATCCCAACTCTGCTCTCAATAACACTGCACTTCTTTGTTTTGAAATGGATGGAATTATTTTAAAATTCACATGAAAAAGGAATAGGGCAAAAGCTCCGAGGCCGATAAAAATGGGAAGACGTGCTCAGCTCCAGGAGGCATTGGGAAAATATGAAGTTAAATGCGAACATGCATTTCACACTCGTGAGATGGGGAGCTCATCAGCCGGGCCGTTCCCACACGTGCCAGCCCAGGGCTGAGTTCTCAAACCGGGGCCTCAGGACCCCCGTAAATAGCACTCTTCAAAATCATTGAAGATGCCAAAGAGCTTTTCGTTTATGTGGGTTCTAACTGCCAATATTAATACCTGTTAGAGGACCTTATTAGAAATTAAACCTAAGATTTAAGAAATATTCACTTCAAAATAACAATAAACTCACTACAATGGTAACCTAAGTAACAATTATGTGGAAAATATGTTTTCCAAAACAAGAAATTTTAGCGAGAAGAGTGGCATCGTGTCACATTTCCTCATATCTCTGGCTTCAGAGAGGTCAGCGTCCACTGTGGCACATGGCTTGGTTGGAAAATGTCAGAGAATCTTGGTTGGAAAATGTCAGAGAATCTGGGAAATCCAGACTCACACGGTTACACATTTGGGAAAGAAAGGAAGGTTTAATAACATCTTCAGGTCACGGACGTTCTTCCTCGTGACGACACCCAAACTCAACAAGCGGTGGTCCCTCTCGGGCTGGTTGCAACGTGGAATCTGAAATCGTATCGATGAACTTTCACTTCTGTCTTATTGGAATCCATCTGTCCGTCCTGCGCCTGGACCAGTCCTTAGGCACACTTGTTCCTGAGGCATCACACACTGGGCATTTGGAAGATAACGGATCACCAAACAATGGAGGTGACAGTCATGTATCAAAGTGTCACTTTTGTGAATGTCACCATCAGTCTCAGCAGAAAGGTCTTCAGTTTGGTAAGTTGGTGAGCTTATGGTGGCGGACGCAGGTTTTTCAAAATCCCAGTCTTTGCATGAAAGCTTGAATTTTATTGTTGGTCACAAACACTCCGTTTTCCTTGAAGGGACAGGCTCACTTGGTCGTTTTCAAGAAAATGTCTGCCAGGTCTGAATAATCAGAGCTTCTATCAGTCCTTCCTTCAAGTAAAAAGTTGTTGCATTAAAATGTGTGTGTATTTTTCAGCCAGCAACTCAAACAGCTGCACACGTGCTTTTCCCCAACCTCCCCTCAGGCCTGGAACTGAAGTGCTTTGTGTGTATCTGCCATTTGGTCACACGGCACATTAAGCCATGGACTCGAGGGCCAAGATTTGATAGAATTAACCCTTCTCCAGCAGGTGCTGCCTCAGTGTCAGCTTTCTGACACTGTCTTCTGGAGTGTTCCACTGGAACCGTGCTGGCCAGAACTCCTCACCCCATGTGGTCCCAGGGTCCCAGGGTCAAGGGTGAGGTTGTGTGAGGCTGG